AGTAAGGATAGTTTCTACCATTAGGGAACCCGAAAAAGCTATAAATATAGCCGAATGTCTGCATATATTGACAAACCAAAAATAGTTTTATTAAAAAATATATGTATATTAAAATTAAATTAAAAACACAAATAATTGTTTTTAGTAAAACAAAAAATTTTATTAAAAATAAAATTTTGTGTGACCAAAACTAAGTTGCCGAAATATATTTTTCTACTTTTTTCATATCAGGCTGTTTGGATAAGTCCCATTCAATAATCAATACTTTGTCCCATTCAATAGGCTTCCCACTATATCCACAAATCACAGGATAGGTTAAAAACAGTAATACCTAAACAAAAATACTTTACAAATTTAAAAAGTAGAGACATTTGGGTGTTGAAAATTGGAGTTTCATTTTCCTTAACTTTAGTAATCGCTGCAAAATCAGACACAGAAAATTGTTTTTAAAAATTACTTATTGTTCTTCAAAACACAATAACATCCAATGCCATTACATTTAGACCATAATAGAAATAAAGATTTGGTCTGTTGAATGGTTGTGTCAAACACTTATTACCACAGGAGTTTGGATAGCCAACCGTAGATGCTTCTATGCAAATTTGATTTTGTCCCATCTAATAATTGTCCCATTTATTAAGGTTCTCCCCTACCTTGGATTTAATAAAACAAAAGTCAATCTTTTTGTCAATTAAATTAAGGCAAAAGAGTAAATACGAGAGAGGCATATGCTTACTTTTTTTGTATTACGAGTTTGCTCCTTACAAAATAAACATTTTTGTTCATTAATAATAATAATAATAATAATAATAATAATAATAATAATAACAATAATAATAATAATAATAATAATAATAATAATAATAATAATAATAATAAATGTTTAATTTGTTTCGTGTTTTAAAAATGTATAAAATGTCCAAAACATGACAGAAGCATGCAGAATAGGGTGGATCGATTTAAAAAATTTTTCAAATTTGATTTGCCTGAGCTGCGAATCGATGTCTTTTGGTGAAAAAAGAACCTTACTTTTTTTTTTTTTTTTAAATTTAAATGAGTTTTAGAGGTTCCTCTTTGGATTCTAAATTTATGACGGATCCTAATATTGTTGAATTTTTTTTTCTTCTAAACTATATTAACCTGGTACTCAAAAAAAGCAGAATAATACGCTTATTTTGAATATAGTATTTATTTTAATTTAAAACTAAAGAGAAAAAAATCATGTCGTTTTTTTCATTAAAAAACCCCCATTTTTATCAAAACGGGGGTTTTAAGGTATATTTTTGCAAATATTTTTTTTACTAAAAATTTTTTTTTAATAAAATTATTATTGATAAAACAAGCATTTTTTTCTGCTTTTTTTGAGTCCAAGGTTGATATAGTTTAGAAAAAAAAAAATTCAAAAATATTAGGATCCGTCAAGGATTTAGAATCCAAAGAGGAACCTCAAGATCTCCTCAAAATCAAAAAAATATTTTTTTTACTTTTATCTTATAATTTATAGACATCGATTCGTGTCTCAGAAATATTGATTTTCAAACTTTTTTTTTTTTGCTATGAAAATCGATCCACCCTAATGCAGAAGACATAATGTAGCATAATAATTTTGTATTTATTTATTTATTTTATTTATATTTATTTATTTATTTGAGTTTTCATGCTATATTTTTTTTATAGAATGTTCTTATATCCGAAGATATTGTTGGCTTAGCATAGGAACAGCCACAAATAGTCATTAAGACTAATCCAAAGTAGCGTCCGTTGTTGACCAACACTTTTGCGTACCAAAGTACTACTCAAGCGTTAAATTAACAGTGACGGATTTTGAACACGTATCGTTCAACAGTCAAAGTTTTAACTTTTCCTTTGACGCTCTAACCATCTGAGCTATCCCTCCAATGTTTTACAACTTGTAAATTTACAAGTTGTAAAACATAAAAAAATAATATTAACAAATACTTTAGCAAAATAAATAATCAAATAACAAAAACATATAGTATAATATTAGGCCCATAGGAACAAAAACTATATTTAGGAGAGGGCGGGGGAGCAGTGCTGGATAAATGGACCCCAAAATAGTTTTAAGGACATTTTTTTTTAGTCATATTTTCAGTCAATTTTTATCAAAATTGTTTATTTGAAAAAAACTAGTAACTAAAAATAAATCAAAATTGATTTATTTTTAGTTACTAGTTTTAAGGACCCCAATATGAAATTGAGAACTGGGAAAGTTTTGTTTTTTTGAAAGGTGTAAAAAATTTTCCTTTTTGTCTTGTGTTATATTTATTAACGTTGTTTATAAAAAAGTTTTTAAAAAATGGTTTGGTATTTGACCTAGTTTAAATTTTAGCATAAACAATATATTTTGGTAAATATTAATTTGATAAATATTAAGCACATTCATTTCTTTAAATAAGGGTTCAGTGTGTGTAAATTTGTCTTTATGGTAGATTAGTCTTACAGCATGTTTCTGACGTCGATATAAAGTTTTCAATTTGGTTAAATGCGTACTCGCCCAAGCTATATTCGCATATATGAGGTAGCTATGTATAAAAGAGAAATATATAAGTTTTAAATTACTTTGCGACAGCATAGGTAGCATTACTTTATAAAGTAGACCTATGTTTTTGATATTTTAGTGTTTAAACCATTTATGTGACTTTTCCAAGATTATTTTAATGACAAATCAATTGATGAGTTTTTAACATCACTTAATTCAACTTTAAATTTTTCAAACCTAACATGCAGCGAATTCCAAGCAGCGAGTAAATTATTAAAACGAAATAAGGCAATTGGGGAAATATGGCAATTGATTGCATCAATTGCAATGTTGAACGTTTTGAAAGATTTTTTAAAATATTGTAATTTTCTTTAAAATATTAAAATATTGTAATATTATTTAAAACATTGTTTAATATTTGTAAAGCTTCAATTCCTCAAGGATCGTTTCCAGACTCTCTAAAAGTAGAAAAAATAACTCCTATTTTTTAATCAGGTGACCATTCAAACATTACAAACTATTGTTCTTTTTCAGTTCTTCCAGTTTTATCTAAAATATAAGAAAGAAAAATCTATAACAGAGTCTACAATTATTTTGTTGATACGAAACTTTCATATTATAATCAATTTGGCTACCAGAGAAACTATCATACTGAACACGCCATGCTCCAACTAACACGTTGCATTTAACAATTCACACGATTCACACGATTCTTTTAAAAGTTCTTTTTATACACAACGAATATTCATCGATATGTTTAAAGCTTTTGATACTGTCAATCACCGCATTCTAAAAAAAAATTCTATTAGAACTCGATGACATTAAAGATAAATATCTAAGCTTCAAAAGCTATTTTAGAAATCGTAAGCAGTTCGTTAATATTAAAGACTCTTCTTTGCCGTTTGAACATTCATTTGCGACGCACAGTAGGATGAAATCCTGATTTTGTTGCCGAATTCCCAAATTACCTACATTACTACAATTACTACAAGTCAGGTTAAGTAAAATTACTACAAGTTAGATTAAAAAAAATTCAGAATAGCGGCTCAAATGTTGAAAATATGAATCGAAATCTCATGTAGTTTGGTTTTCGAGGTCATTGCTTATGATTCAGGAGTTAAATTAGAGAAAAGACATTGTAAAACTATTGCCAAATTTATACTATTAATAAAAAAAAACAGAAATTTGTAATTTTAATTATATTCTTTTTTTAATTTATGCATTTATTATAGAGAAACATGATATAGGTAAAGTGGTAAAAGATTCACATATATGTAAAAAAATTCTTTATTTAATCTTAGCAACAAAAATTACGTCATATTCATCAATGTTCAAATCATTCAATTCGGAATCTGATGTTGAACCACTTGTATCTAATTCGGAATCGTTCCTTGTTTTATCCTAAATTGATTCTGTATTTCTTTCTTATTTTCACATTATTTTTCTCTGACGACCACTGACGACCTTACCACTTTTCAACATACAATAAACTACTGATTTTCCATTTTGTTCATTAGCATATGGTGCAAGACCCTATATCTGATGTTCAATGTCGGTAACTTTTTTTAATATTGACTGTACATCTTCACGTACAAACTGTGGTTATCGTATTGGTCTGGAGAATTGCGGAGATGATGGTCTAGGATTTTTCCACATAATAGTTGCTTCACCCGTCTCGTGATTGTTGTGTATTAATTGTAAAGGTACAAAAGAAGTACAAAAAATGCTTTCATCAGATTTACAGTCTTAGTAAATTTTTGTTTATAAACACTTTGACCGCTGCTTCCATCACACCCCCATTTACAGTGAAGTACTAATTTTTGCAGAATTTCCGGATTTAGAGTATCAATGACATCAGCCTGAAGTTGTATAATTCTAGATGTGGCATGATCTGTAAGTAAAGTCAACTTTTTTTGAGTCAAACTTTTCATCTAAAAAATTACTTAATAAAATTAAGTAATTTTTTGGATGAAAAGTTTGACTCAAAATATCATTTCTGCTAAAAAATGTCAATTCATTGCAGAAAATTTTTTACAAATACAAAATTGGCTACCTCTGTAATAACGTGGTTCAATCAATTTTTACGAATACACAAAAACAATGATCCAAACATTTTATTTTCTTGGAGTTAAATTTACAAAATGTATCATTTATTTGATAATATGCAAAAGAATTGAAAAATTTAGAAATTAATTAAATAAAGATTTAATGAAAACCCGGATTTTTTTTTTACCGATGAAAACCCCGCACTTGAAAAAGGAAATAAAAAAATATCAAAAATAAACATTTTTTATTAATTAATACTAACTGTATTCTGTAGGCGGTTGGCGTAACTTAACAGCCTAAATAAGTAGACCCCGTTTATACTGTCGATAAAAACTTTTTATTTTAAAAGTAGACTAAATTATTTTTGTAAAACAACAACTAGTTTAATTATGTTGACCCGAAACTTTCTATTTCCGAATCATTGCAAACTCTTAATTAAACGTTTTCGTGTTATAACACCATGAATTTTTGTGAAAAAGATTATGAGAAGAAATTCTCGGAAAAAATTTGTTCATTTTATTGAATAGTCCACGATTTATTACTAAATCGTAACAAAACATCAGCAAACGTCTTGAAAAGATTCTTTGTTAAACTTCTTAAAGCTCATAAATCAAAGCTTTTTTCAATCAGAATCAGAGAATTTTTGTAAAAACATGAGAAGAGTTAATACTCTAGATGTTTCTACGAAAAGTAAAATAGAATTATATGTTGGCAATATCACTGAAATAAAAGAATACGATGTACTCGTCATTTCTGCTTTCCCAGGTTTTTATTTTAATAAGTTCATTAAAATTATTATATATTTTAATAAATTTGAAAAGCAATGTAGTTACAATTTCTGAATTGCATTCATATACAATTTTCAAGTTAAATATCCATATACTATTTTAATTCAAAGTTTGTACATCATTATTTACAATTATGTTGTTGGATATATTATTATTTATTTTTATTATATATATATATCATATATGATATAGAATTGCATATTACATATATCATATATGACCAATAAAAAAATCGTTACCTACATGTTACCTACTTCAAGTTAAGGTTATGTAATTTTTAGAAATAGTTCTAAAAATTTTATCACCTCAACTTGACTCAAGTTGAGGTGATATAATTTTTATTTATTGTGAGTTATTTTTCCTTTTATATTAAATGTTATATTAATTGTTAAATCCTTCACAAACACATTAACAACAGATGAATTGGAAAACGATCCTTCAGTGAAAACATATTAGAAATTTTTAAGGATGTAAAAATTAAAGTTTATATGTTTACATTGTTTTTTAATAATAGAGTTTGAAATCTATCATTAAAAAAAAGGTTTGATAAGATATGTTACCTTACCAATATAAGGAAGTGTAAAGTAGTTTTTCATGATTTCTTGGTTTTTGGATTTTTATTGATTAGTAAAAATAGTTTTTTTTGGTAATATAAGAATATTATTTAAAAGCCAAGTTAGATACATTTTATGAATGTTAAAAATATTTTTAGTGTCATAATAAAAAGCAATAGTATTATTAATTTTAAAGGTTCCATCAGTTAAGAGTTTAATTGAATTTAATTTGTGTGAAAAAGAGATTAAACTACAAAAGGAAGCATGAAGTCCTGAATATGTCTTCTTATGAAAAATGGAGTTACATAACTATTAACTTTGTTTATATTAATGTCCAAAATAGAGATATTAGATTCCTTTTCCTTTTCCATAGTAAAAAATATTGAATTATTTTATTGATATGGTCAAGCAAATGGTGTTAATCATTTTCTGATAAGAATGAAGCAAAAATGTCATCAACATAATGTTTGTAAAATACTGACTTAACTCAATTGTATGCTTTTAGCCATTCTTTTTTAAAATAACCCATAAATAAATCAGAAAAAACAGGAGCTAGTGAGAGCCTATAGCAACACTATCTATTTGATTTAAGGTCTGATATTTTATTTGAAAATGGGATTGTGATGTTGCAAAGATAAAGAGTTTCTTAAATTGGTTTTGTTAATTTTAAGATTATTATTACTATATAAAATTGAATTAACAACAATATCAATGGTTTCTCAAAAAGGTATATTAGTCTATAGGCTTGTGACATTATAAGATACTAAGTATTTTTTTATGAATGTTAGCTTGATTCACATATTTTATGAAACTGAATAAATATTTTTGTACAAAACTCTGAAGGTCTGAAAGTATTATGGGTTACAGTAAATCTCTTACTGGAAGAAAAAAGATGAAGTTTATAGAGCAAGATAACAAGTGACAGACGACTTAAAAGATTACAAATTATATGAATCAGGAAAGCAAGATAAAGGAAGCGAGTCCCAAAGAACTGATGTTTGAGGAAACAAACTAGATGAATAAGAGGTTTTGGAGCCCTTAACTGAGTGATTAGTAACACAAAAATGAATTTTAGAAGATGGCCCAAGAGACATTAGCTCTTTAGAGCAGTGCCTATTATAGCATTTTTAGATAAGAGAGAGATACAAGCAATAATACGACAACGTGATAATGCTTTGAGGTTGGCTGCAATAGCAGGTCCAACTATTTTGTTTTATATATGTATATATATATATATATATATATATATATATATATATATATATATATATATATATATATTTATATATGCATATATATATACAAAAAATTATTAAATATAAGTTCATATTACATAGAAAAACAAACTGTACTTATGTTCATCAAATATTTTCTTGCAAAAATATAATGGCATAAATTAAAAAAATTTAGACATAAAATTACTTTTCTATATATTTAGTAGAGCCACCCTTTGCAAGAATAACTGTTTGCAGATGTTTTTTATTCTGAGGCATTCATTCCACTAAAGATTTTGTTTCTTTTAGAGTTATTTTTTCCCATGCTTTAACTATGGCTGCTTAAGAAGCCTCAGCCGGAGTAAATGAGAAAAATTATCCGAAAACAAACATGGTGACCCATGCAATCTGCTCCTCCAAACTGCTTTTTACAAGAGCTGTTTATTTATATAAAAAGTATATTAAAAAAATACAAAATTTAGTTTTATACTAGTTACAAGTATATGTTTGCAACGTTGTTACAATAATCTACACATAAGTGTTATTTATTGTGATGAGTAAAATTCTTTAGTTTTTTTTGCAAATTTTGTGCAAAAATTGTGCCTGTTTATTATCCATTTAATCAAACTTTTTTGATTTTGTGGGTTTTATTTTAGTTACAATGATATTTATACTTTTGAGTGAAATATAAAATACTTTTGTGAGAGCTGTAAATTGCTTTCATAAATAAGTAAGAGTTTTTATAAATTTTGTGAGAGCTGTAAATTGCTTTCATGTATATATATATATATATATATATATATATATATATATATATATATATATATATATATATATATATATATATATATATATATATATATATATATGTATATATATATATATATATATATATATATGTATATGTATATGTATATTTATATGTATATGTACATGTATATGTATATATATATATATATATATATATATATATATATATATATATATATATATATATATATATATATATATATATATATATATATATATATATATATATATATATATATATATATATATATATATATATACAGGGTGTCCCCGTCAAACGCGGTATTCCCAAAAATTGCTCATAAAATTAAAATTCCCAATTTAAAGAAGAAAAAATCCCACACTTGAAATAAATTTTGCAAAATTAAAGTTTAATAATAGTTCTGAAAATTATTGAAAATTAAATATTATTAAAAACTAATAGGAAAAAAAAAAATTCTTATTTAATAATTGTGTAAAACTTAAAATAAAATTGCTATTATTAGTATATTTACGCGATTGAGCTCTGAAAATGTCTCTTCGACAAAACTTCTTGAGAATTTGGATTTTCCAAGCGATTTTAGGGATTTTCCCTGTAACTTGCTTGTGAAATTAATTTCTCATATTTTTCAAAAATTTTTTGCAATGCATTCCAACATCAGTAAATATTATATAAAAAAGTCAACAAGAAAAAAAGCACTTATCTAAAAAAATTTAAAACAATAATAAATTTGTTCGGTTTAGAACCCACAAATGCTATTTCTTTAAAAGTTTCGACATTTTTGGCTGAAAAGTTAAATAACTTATTAAGTCTTACCGCAAACTCAACTTCATTTATTGTGAAAGTTTTCATTATTTAAAAATTGGACAATTCCTAAGTCTTTTAGTTATAGTTTTTAATTTTTTTGTTTGGTATTTTATATCAACTGAATTATGTGATCACATCGATTAAAATCTTTCTTCACTTATCTACTAATTAATTCACTAATTAATTCAATAACTTTTTTAAAAAACGATCTCTAAAATGTAAGTTACCTACAAAAAATGTTTAATGATTAATAAATTAGAGTTTATTACATGATGATATATAAGTTTATAGCATGTTGTGAAGTTTGTTTATTAAGTGAGGGACTTTCCCATTTAATGTGGAGGGCTTCATTTATCTTTAATTTGCATTTGGTTGGGGCATTATCCAAAATCTCAAAACAATCATAGTTAGCCAGATTTCTGCAATTAACAGATAAATTTAAGTGTTTAAATATATGAGATTGTTTATCACTTTGAAGGTGCTCATTTATTCTAGTTGCCAAATGTCTGGAGGTTTCTCTAATATAACTGGCATTACAGCCAGCACCAGAAAATTTATAGACAACATAAGCAATTTAGGAAGTGACTCTTTAAAGCAAAAACAATTTTGTATTTTATCAGTAGTGAAAGTTAATTTTATTAAAACATCCTTGCAATATTTATAATCAATTTTTGAAATTTTCATTTTAGTATAATTAGAGTACATTCCAATGTATGGAAGCTTAAATTTATATTTAAGCTATTAACAATGTTAGAAACAGATGGGTTCATCTTCTTATCAATATAGGATTTAATTTCAGAGTCAATAATTTTTTGTGGAAATTTATTATTTTGTAAAAGTAATGATAGATTTTTAATATCTTTATCAAAGCCAACCCAAATATTTTTAATTTTAAATATTCGAGTAATCAAACAACGAACATGTCCAAATTTATAGCAAGAAGGAATAAAACTTAAAATTTTTTGTAAAAGACCAGTATATGTTTTTTTGTGATAAACTGAAGTCAAAAATGAATTGGATTTTTTAATAAGTACATCTAAAAAGGCAATCTGGTTATCTTGTTCTTTTTTCATAGTAAATTTCAAATTTTTATGTTGTTTATTGAGGTCTTTTTAAAATTCTTGAACATCATATTCAGAATTAAAAATGCAATTAAATCATCCACATACCGTTTATAAAATAATGGTGCTGTAAAGGAGCAGTTATTGATCCATGTTTGTTCATGAAATTCGAAAAAAATATTAGCTAAAATGGGTGCTAAACGAGAACCAATAGCAACACCATCTGTTTGATCGTAATATTTTCTGTCAAATAAAAAATGTAAACCAAATGTAGAAATCTGAAGTAATTTTTTAAACTGAATTTTTGAAAAACGTTTTGAGTTAATTTCATCTTTAAAAAATAAATCAGTTGCTATGTTAGTGGTTTCCTTAAGTGGAATATTTGTGAACAAACTTTCAAATTATATTGAAAATATAACAAATACAATAAATATATTGGTTTATTATGTAAAATTTTTGTCCGTTATTATTTCTCTGTAAAGACTTCTTTTTTTTAATATTTATTTCAGAGTTTTATTATTGTAAAATAATCTTTTGAAAATGTAAACAAA